TTACTCATATACAGTGCCAACCAAAGGTAATAAAGGAGGTCAGAATTGCTTCCACTGTGGAAAGCTGGGCCACTTCAGTAGACAGTGTCACAGACGAGAGCCACAGATAGACAAGGGAGTAGAGAGGAAGCTCCCACTTGCTTTAAGTGTGGATTTGAAGCACATATGGCCAAGGGTGGCCCACATCAGGTCCTCATGGCTGACAGGCCCCAGCTCCCAGCTGGAAACAAAGGAGGACACTTCAGCGATTTAGATCCTCCCAGAAGAGCTGTGGGTGAGCATTAACATTATTGGTAAGTATATTAGTTTTCTCCTGGACACAAGCCTACTATTTGGTCCTAAAAGCCTTCTGAGGTCCCAGCTCTTCTCACTATTTCTTAGCTGTTGGAATTGATGGAAAACCTCATAAGCAGTTCCTTTCTTCACCTCTGCCTTGCATGTGGACTTCCGAGCTGTAAAACAACCCAGTGGTAGATGAAATTTGCTCCAGGACTTAAGAACCATAAATGACATAGTTGAGCCTCTACATCTTGTGATTCCTAACCTTTATAATATAATAGACAAAGTGCTAGTCAATAGGCCTTTTATTGTAAGAACTGCCTTCCCTCTGTAACTTGATTTGTGCCACTATTAGAGCCTCTACCTGGAATATTATTGCTTTTTAATTTTTGACTCATGTACTTTTAACTTGTTAGTTAAATTTGTGTCTTCTAGGCTCCAACACTTCCATGTTACATCTTCAAAGATATGAACATGCACGGCTAAGCACAATTGATAACAGTGCATCTAAATTCCAGACTCAATCTCTATAATAGTCTATGTGTTTCCTATTGCCAAAAGAGACCCTTTAGAGTAGTGAGAGAAGATCTTCACCCTGAAACCTACAGCGTCCCTTTCCAGCAGGAAGTAGCTAAGAGAATATGCCGTCCCCTTTTCCTTATGAATCAGGGTGAAGTCTCTCTAAAGGAGGAGTGATAGGGAATGGCAAAGGACACACTGACAAAGGAGATTAATCAGAACTGGCTTTGACAAGCACTGTGGCAATGGACAAGGGGGGGTAATAGGAACGACTGGGGGGGAGGGTAGAGAAAATAGTGCAACAATGAATGAATGGAAATTAAAAAAAAGAGCAGATTTGCCCAGTGTGGCACATCTTTTCATGTTTTTTAATTGTTATTTAACAAAAAATTACAGAAAGTTGGGCTTTCATTCACTTATTGCTGTAAATGCACCCTCCAGTCCGTTTACCTGTGCACCTCATATTCTGGACTATTGCCATTCTTCTTTTGATTTCTTGACTGCTCCTACCATGGTGGATCTGTGTGGAATGAACTCCATGACTATTTCCAACTTGTCTCTAACTATGGGGACGAGCATAGGTTTGATGTTGAGGTGTTTCCACCCTGCGCTCTGTACTCTGAGTCTCTTTAGTAAGTGCTTCTAGTCCTGTTCATTTCCCGACAACAGGGTTCTCACTTTTACATCATGCCAGTTGTTGATAAGTCTTTGTCTAATCCCAATGCCAGATTCGTCTTCATATAGTTCACAGTCTCAGGTTATTTGTTTGGTCTGCAGTTCATATTTGTTGTTGTTAAGTGTTTTCCAGTTGACTAGAACTCACAGAGACCCTAAGCAATAGCCCAAGGTCATGACGAAGTGATTTTTAATTCTCCTTCTTCAGTGTTCTCCATATGGTACTCCTAGTTTAATGTCTTTGCATAAGAAATGAAACCAAGTAAGCTGCTCTCTTACATTCCCTGCTCTTTGCCATGATCTCTCTACCTTCAGCCATGATATCCCTTGATCTACAGCTTCTCTTGAATCTAGGTTGCATTTCTGATAGTTGCCAGTAGATAGACTGCTGCAGGCCCTTTTGGACAAGCCTCAGGAAGATTATCCTTGCGTGTGATACCAGTGGTAGGATTGTGTAATCTGTCACTTATATGCTGATGTCATTCTGTCACTCTTTTCTCTTGGCTTCCAACTTCAGTTTAGTTACCATTTATTATTAGTGCACCTTGATTGCATACTTGTTCCATTTCAGACTTGCAGAGTTGGTAAAATCATCCATTTCTTCATCTTGAACTTGCTTTAGTAGGTGGTACATATATGTGAATCTTCATACAGGTAGTTCTTCCTTGTACGATTACAGTTCTATGTCTGACTTCCCTGCTATTTGAAGTAGCATCACAACATCCAAGTCACCACAGTATGACAAACTGAGATGAAATTCTTCGTTGGTGAGAATACCCAGACCCGTTTGAAAGTGAGGTGTGCAACATGCCTGCAGACACAGAAGAATGCCTCTAGCCCTGGTCTGGATGTCAAAACTTACGTAGGTCCATTTCAATACCTGGGGCAAGCCCACCACACTTCTACAGTGATGGACCCAGAGTGCTGTATGCGTCCAGGTGAACTCATTTGTTCATGTAAAAGTCAAGCAGATAAGGAAAAACAGGCAATTGAGAAACAGAGGAAAAGTAATAAAGACCAATACTGCAGGTTTGAGCTAAATGTCCTGATGGAGCGGAGAGGGGCCTGCCTTGAGGGGATACACTCAGGGCCGATGGGGCCCTGCCAGTCCTACAGAAAGGGTCTACCTCTGTCAGTCCCCTCAGTCTAGGAATTCAGCCAGTACCCTCATCCCCCTCCTTATTAGATTGTTTCTCCAGTAGCTCCCAAGAAGACACTGATATTTCAGGTGTCATGATAATTTTATGTATATCTGACATCAAAGAAGTTCCAGTAACTGCCTCTTTGCTTCTCTACTGAGATGAAAGAGAGTGCTTTGGGAGGGATACCTGGTGTCCGCATTGGTTCTGAGTGTGGGCGGGGAGAAGGGTGTCTGACCTCCACCTCATGGAAATCTGTGTTGGACTCATCTTGCTATCATCCTCCCTTGATGTCGGCAAGTCTGTCTGGTACTACAGTTCCCACTGTTTGACTTGCAGAATAAGCGACCCAAAACTAAGTAGCTGGAAACAGCCAAATTGGTCTTCTCCTGTTCTAGAGGCCAGAGTCTGCAGCATTTGCTGGAAATCACTCACCCTGGAACCTCTGTGGTAGCACCCCTTCCCACCGTCTAGTTCAGCTTCTGAAGACTGCCCACCATCCTTGGCCTCCTTTCACTTGCAGATGCGTCACTCCAGTCTCGAGCGTCGACTTCCCACTACCTCCTTCCCTGTTTCTCTCTTACAGAGGACTCACGTGATTGTGTTCAGTGCATATTATCATAACCCATTTCAGGGAGGGCCAGAGGCAGAGATGAAGGTGGCAGCATGGAGAGAACACTGTCCTCCAGAGATACTTTTCCTGGAGCAGGCAGGACCCCCCACGCCCACCCCCACCAGTGACTTAGATGTAATTTCTTTATCCAGGGTTGTACTTGGTGCTGTGACACTGGGGATATCCCGTGTGGATGTGCAGAAAGCTGTGCCTGTTACTAGGTTGCTATGCTTGCACGCAGAACCATGAAATTTGGGATCTCTGTTTCTCTTTTAGGTGTGAACTCTCGTGAAGTCCTCATTTTCAAGAACTGTACAAAAAACTGCACTTTTGTCTATAAAGAGGAAGAAATTCCTCCAGCAAGTCCTGGCAGAAAAATCACAAAGACTACCAATTTCTATTTTGTTAATTGTTGCAATAGTATGCGTTGTAATTCAGGAGGACCCTCCAATTTTGAGAGAGACATAGTTGGTGGGCAGACAATTGAGGAGGACCTTCCTGAAGGAGCTGAGCCCTTTGGGGAATCAACCTTCCTTCTGATTTTTGCCTCCATCCTCATCAGCAACACTCTGACTTGAGGATCCCTCCCGGGAAGTCTGGTCTTCTCCCACCATTCTTCAGGGGACACTCAGCCTGTTGCTTCCATGAGAACTGGGGTTAAGGATCCACACAGAGCCCTGCAGGGAGAGCTCCTCTGTGACCTTTTAAGAATCAAATAAAGACAGCAGTTGTTTGTGGGTGGGAAACGTGTCAGCTCGTGTTTGCCTGCAGATTCTCAGAAACCCAACTGAGGTTCTCCTCAGGCAGTGGAGGGGTGTGGTCAGGGGCGTGTGGGGTGGGGTGTTGTGTGAGGAGGTATTTGTGGTGTGAGGGGTATGTGGGGTGTGTGTGTATGTGTCATTTGTGTGTGAATGGGGTGTGTAAGTGTGGACTGTGTGTGATGTGCTGGGTGTGTGTGAGTTGTGTTTGGTTTGAGGGACGTGTGGTGTGTGATTGAGTGGGGGGGGTGTGATGTGAATGCATGAATAGAGGGAGGTGTGTGTGTGATGTGTTAACGTGGGGAGTGAGTATGTGAGTGGGGGCCTGTGAAGGTATTGGGTATGTGAATGTATGAGTATGGGGTGTGATGTCCGTATGACTTCGTGAGAGTGTAAATAGGGGGAGGGGGGTCAGATGTGTGAATGAGTGTGTGGGTTGTGAATAAAAGATTGTTAAAGTGTGGAATATGAGTGTGTGTGGTATGTGAGAATAGATATGTATTTGTGAGTGTCCGTGGGATGTGAGAGTGTGTGTATGTGTGTGTGAAGTAAATGTTTACCAAACAGCGATTCATTCCACCGTTCATGCATAATTTGTTGGATGGCATGAACTTCTCTACCTCCAATGTCATCACACTCCCACATTGTTCTTGGCACTCTGCTATTCAGTCTCCCTCCTCTGCCTCTGTGCATGCCTTCTTGTTTAGTGGTGTTGCGCTGACCACCCCTTGATGGACACTTCCTTTTACTTTCATCTTAGTTGTTGTTAGGTGCCACTGGTTGAGTGCAACTTATAGCGACCTTATGAACAAAAGATCCGAACCCTGTTCTATCCTACACCATCCTCACATTTCCTGACACACAAGAGCCTGTTACACCAATCATCATATCAAACCACCTAGTTGAGGGTCTTCCTCTACTTCATCGACCCTCCACCCTTCCAAACATCATATCCCTCTCCAAGAAGTGGCCCCTCCTAGCAACATGTCCAGTGTACGTGAGATGAAGCCTCCTCACTCCTGCCTCCAGAGAGCACTCTGGCTGCACCCTCTCCAAGACAGATCTATTCTTTTACTTGGCCGTCCATGGGAGGTTCAGTGCTCTTCAACACCACAGCTCAAAGGCATCAATTCTTTTTCTGACATCCCTATTAATTGTCCAGGTCTTAGATGCATAGCTGGTAATTGGAAAGACCATACCCTGAATCAAATGCACTTTAGTCCTCAAACTGACACCATCACTCCTCAATAATTTGGAGAAGTCCCTAATGCAGATTTTCCCACTGCAGTGCATCTCCTTATTTCCTGACTACTGGTAACAAGGGTGTTAATTGTGGATCCAAGCAAGATGAAGCTGTTGACAGTTTCATTCTCATCTCCATCCATAATGACACTGCCTATCGGTCTGGTCTAGTATTAAGAATCTTTGTTTTCTTGACATTGAGATGCAATCTATACTGAATGCTGCATTCCTTGATCTTCTGCAACAAGTGCTTCAAGTTCTCCTCACTTTCAGTAAGCAAAGTTGTGTTTTCTGCATAATACAGGCTGTATATGAGTCTCCCTCCAATTCTGATGCCACACTTCTCAGAGAGTCCAGTCTCTCAGATCATCTCAGCATACAGATTGAATAGGCATGCAGAGAGACTATAACCCTGATGCACCCCCTTCCCAGTTTTAAACCATGCTGTGTTCCCCTGCTCTGTTTTGAAACAACAGCCTCCTGGTCTAGGTATAGATATCGCTTGAGCAGTTAAGTATTCTGGGAGTCCCATTCTTCTCAATGTCTGCCACAACTTGTTATGATCAACACAGCCAAATACCTTTGCATAGTCAGTAAAGCACACACAAATAGAATTCCTCGACCTACAGCGGGCCAGGAGAAGATGGCCGGCCCAGGAATGACCGGGCTCTCCCGCCAGGTGTGGGGCTTCAGTACATCTGTGGTCTGGCCATTTTCCAAGCTTGTGAGGCCACCTGTTCAGATACCTGGTGTTGAAGGTCACTATGCCACTGTTCTTTAATTCTGCTGCATCTAAACAGAATAAACTGGATCAAGTAGAAAAGGAGTTACTGAGAGGAGCACAACTTCTGAAGGATCCCCAAGTGGCTCTTGCTGTTCTGAATCCTCACGTGAAGTGGTCTATTAAGATGAAAAGCCTAAATGACATCACAGCAAAAGAGAGGTTTACTGCGCTCACATCCAACCTGATCAATCCACTTGCTGACAATGGTCACTTGAACAATACGCCTGGAGTCCTTTCTGCCTTTTCCACCATCATGAGTGTCCACCGTGGAGAAGTTCCTTACACAGCTATTGTGTCTCTCTTAGACAGCGCCTCTCTCTCTGAATTAAAAACAGTCCTGGACAGCTTCCTAAGTCAAGGCCAAGTGTTGAAATTGGAGGTTAAGACTGATCTGTCAATCATGGGTGAAATGATTGTCCATATTGGAGAAAAATATGTTGACATGTCTGCAAAATCCAAGATCCAGAGCTGAGCAGGGCCATGCGGGAGCTTATATGAAAATGCTGGGGTTCTGTTATGAGTGTGTAAACCTGGAGCATCAATAAAGTGTTGACCTGACAATCTGTAAAGTAGAAATACAGTGAGGGGAAAACCAAATAGCTATTCCTCTGTTCTTCCTTACTTTCAGACCAAATCCATCCAACAGCAGTGATATCCCTAGTGCCATGGCCTCTTCTAAATCCTGCTTGAACTTCTGGCAGTTCCCTATCTATATACTGTTCTAGCCAGTTTTGAATGATCTTCAGCAGTATTTTGCTTGCATGTGACATTAATGATATTGTTTGATAGTTTTCTCATTCGGTTGGATCACCTTTTTTTGGCTTTGGGAACAAATATGGACCTCTTCCAATCCATTAGTCAGATAGCTGTCCTCCACATTTCTTGGCATAGACTGGTGAGCACATCCAAGGCTGCATCTGTTAATTGAAACAAACGAGCTCAATATCAGTCAAAATTGGGCCAGGGGTGGACAGATCATGAGTTCAAATTGTGGCTGGAGAAAATGAAAATAAATCCACAGGAATCAAGATATGATCTTGAATCAATTACATCTGAATTTCAAGTCATCTAAAGAATAAGTTTCAGATATTGAACACCAATGATTGAAGACCAGATGATTTGTTGGATGATATCATCCATGAAAAAAGCAAAAGGTTATTACAAAAACAGAGGAGAAAGGGGGAAAAAATCAAAATGGATGTCAGGAAAGACTCTAAAGATCACACTGGAGCGTCGAGAAGCCAAGACAAAGGGCAACATGCTGAAGTGAAAGAGCTGAGCACAAAATTTTCAAGGGCAGCTCGAGAGGACACAGCCAAGTGTTAGAATATGCAGAGAGCTGGGATTGGAGAAGAAAAAGGGAAGAACTTGCTCTGCGTTTCTCAAGTTTCTCATGCTGAAACAACTTGTGCCACAATACAGAAAGATGTTCTGGACAGTATATTGAATGACCCAGGAAGCATCAAAAGAAGATGGAGGGAATATAGAGTCACTGTACCAGAAAGGATTGACTGACACTGAAAAATTTCAGCAAGTATTATATGAACAAGAGCCAGTGGTAATGGAGGAGGAGGTAGAAGCTGCATTGACGGCATTGGCAAAAAGGCCCCAGGCATCAATGGGATACTGAACAACTTATTTAATCTTATTGAGTGCCTGCTGCCTTTTTCTGTTTTACTCACCTCTCTTCCCATCCCTGAAAACCACCAACGATTATATCTGTGTAGAACCATTTCTTAACTTTCCCGTCAATGATCTTTTACAATAAATATCCTGCAGTGAACATAATGCCCTCTAGCTGCTCCGTGGGCTTCTTTGAATTCCATATCGCCTTCAGCGTTGCGTGCTACTCCCGCGGGGCTGCTCCTCGGCTTGTGAGCCATGCAAGGCTCGATGGGCCCGCCTGTGGGTCGTGGGTCTTGGGTCATGGGCCATTTCCTTCCTTAGCTAAGGAAGGCTGCAGGGAACCTGAGGGAGCATCCAGCACGTGTTTGTGTTTAACTCCTCTTGGGAATCTATGCCCAGCAGTGGGAGTGTTGGATCAAGTGTTATCTCTGCTATCCCCTCTCTCTGCAGTGGTAGTGATACCATTTTGCCCGAGCTGAAGTCGGAAGATAGAAGCATGAATTCGTTCTCCTGCAACAGCTGGGGTCCAAACAGACTCAAGCAGGTTTCTGAAGTGCATGCAGAGTGGAACTCCAAGGTGTCCAGGGGCTCCCAGGGAAGGAAGCGGCCTTCAGCTGCTGTTGGGGTTTGGGCAGGTGGAAAGGAGCCTGTGTGGTGAGTGCTGTCTGTCGAACTGGCCCTTTGGAATCTTGCCACAGTTTTGACATGTTCACTTTCTCTGCCACTTCTCCAACCATGGTAACTGCCAATCGCCGACGGCTGTGGTCATCTCCTTGTAGAGATGTGAGTGAGGGGCTCTCGATGCGCAGGACATGCAGACCTCTTTCCTCTGAGGACCCTAACCTCAGCCTTCTCAGAACTTCCCTGTTGCTCTCTGACACACCATTTTATGTTTCTGTCTGCAGTGTGTGAAAATCCCAGGACCTCCACACCTTCGGCCACCACTTGGTAAAGATCAGCCATCTGTGTGTGGATGCGTTTACTTCAGGGTTCTCAATTATGGGCTGTGTGAGTAGCACCTGACTAGATTTCCGATTTCTGTTGTTGCTTGTTTTGTTTCGGTTTTTGTTTTTTAGATGGTAACTCCCCACACACACTTGGAAATTGACAAGACCCCTAAACAAGACTACCCAGGTAACTAATTATTTGGTATTAAAATCATTCTACA